GTAGGGGGTGGGACTGGCTTATGGAGCTGGAGTCCCCTCCACTGGTGTCCTCGAAGGGGGCCCGCGCCAGCCTCCACCTTTTCCACCTCCATCCTCCATAGCAAGCATAACAAGCCCTGCCCCCCCACCAGCTCATCGCCTCTGCCCCACTGCCACCCCTACACCCTGCTCCCCAGAGGCCAGGGCCAAGCCCTCCCTCTGGACCCCTCCTACTCCCCTTCCCCTGGCCTTCCTGGGATCTTGCTCTGTGCAACCTTGCAGGGTCCCATGGGAGGCCTCCTGACCTTGGATCCAGCTTTGGGCAATGGGTGAGTCTTGAAGTCTTGGGGATCTTACTGCAGATCTTGGGGACTCAGGTTTCTTTGGCCCCCATTGTCAGGAAGGTTCCCATCCCCTTTTCCTCCTTTTGTCTGGCTTCATGAGAGAAGACCAAGGGCCAAGGTACCTGGAGGTAACCTGCCCATTGTGTGTGTGGGCATACTCTTTGGTTTTCCCTGTCCCTGCAAGGAAGGCCCCCCAGAATCACAAAGCCTAGATAGTTAGGGTCACATGAGGTCAAGCCGCATCTTTAGAGCCACGTCTGTGCTCTCTGCAAGGCCCTTATCTATTTACACCCAACACAGTAGTGGGGGGTGGGGGCAGGGGGCCCCCTGAGCTGACTGTATACAGTGACAACAGGGGCTGAGCCTGGGGAAGGGGGCCGTCCCCCAGGCAGATTGTATTTGTCCATAAACACAGTGCACTCCAAGCCCCAGGGCAGAGGAGGGGCAGAGAAACCAGCCCAGCTGGAGCTCCTCTCCTTCTACCTCCCTGGGAGGGGGGCTCTCCCAGGGCCCACCCCCTCCTCCTCACAGGCACGCTGTCTCTCCCAGCACCACCCCCCGAGTTGTTTCCACAGCAAGCTGGACTATGTTCTGTAAACTCCAGTCCCCTAGCCAGGTAGCCGCCAGCGACAGGACAGGTGTCAGGCCATCACTGCACCTGTGTGTATGGGGGCGGGGTAGAGACAAGGAAGGAGGCCAGGGGGAGCAAAGGCCCTTTGTCGGTCCATGTGATGTTGTTTGTCGCTCTTCCAGTCCCCTGGAGTGGTCAGGCTCCACCCTCCCCCCATGGGGTCCTGTGAGGGGTCTGGGCCCATAGGTCTCCAGGAATCTATACATGGCTTATGGATCTGGGGCCAATCTTTCAGCCTGAGGGTGCCCCTCGTTGTTCTGGGCCTCTGGGGGAATGGTGGGGCAGTGGATGTCCGTCCCAGTGACTTGTTTTGCTGCACCACCACTTCCCCTTTGAGTTAATGATTGGTGGGGAGCCCTAGGGATGCCATTTCTTGATTCCCCTCAGCTTGGGCTGCCTAATAGGTCCTGAGTTTCCTAGAGCCCCGGTTGCTCAGCCAATAAGAGGCTGAGGCCTTGCCCCACCCTTTTGGGGCTATGCTTTTGTATATAAAGCCCGAGGCCCCGGGTGGATGGCCCAGTGGGTCCAGCCCAACCCAGTGCTGAGCTTTCTGTGACACAGCTGGTCCTGCTCTTTTTCCAAGATGCTGTTTTGGCACAGCCAGCCGGAGCACCTGTGGCCCAGCCCCGGGGAACTGTACCCCGGGCCACCAAACAGCTTGCTCAGGTAAGGGCCACATCCCCTTCCCACAGTCCCTGAGGAAGGCCCTGCTGAGTTGAGATGGACATGGCAGGGCCCTCTGTTTCAAGCCAAAGGTTATGGGCCTCCTGATCTTGGGGGTGGGGAAGTGGTCAAATGTACCCGGAGTTCAGTGGGTCCCAGGACATCTCAAAACATCCTGACCACCCACCCACTCAGGACACTTGTGGGCATTCACTGGGTGTCAGGCAAGTCCTGAGGGTGCAAACAAGTAATTGATAGCAGATGTTTGCGAATGTTTGGTAGTATCTGGGATTTGTACCTTAAGGGAGGTCTGCTGGAGGCCAGAGGAGCTGAACAGGGGCCCCTTAGGCCCTGTCTGCTTCAGGGGTGCCTGCTACAGCAAACTGTGGGCTCCCTGAAGGGAGAACCTGGCAGAAAGAGTCAAAACCTCTTAGAGGATGGGGTGGACAGGGCAGAAAGCCAGCAGTGCCCTCCTCTCCCTGGCAGGGAGGCCTTGCCCTTGCCCTACCTGAAGCAGGAAGAGCCGCCCAACATCCCCCGTGCAGAACCCCCCTGCCCCGCCTTCCAGTACGTGCTCTGCGCTGCTATCTCGCCAGCTGTGAAGCGGCAGGAGGAGACCCTCACCTACCTGAACCAGGGTGAGCTGGGCCTGGGGAAGGAGAGGGGCCAGCGAGGCAGCAAGCTCTGGAGGCTGGGCCCAGGGCAGGCTGTGGGTGGCAGGCAGCATCTCTGCCCCTCAGAGTGGGGCTCACACATCCCCTTAATCTCTCCCAGGCCAGTCCTATGAGGTGAGGATGCTCTGCAACCCCAAACTGGGCGATGCCACCCAGGGGCCCCGGCTGCTGAAGGTAGGTGCATCCCTTCCAGAATTGGCAAAAGCTGGCTATGACTATCCCTCTGGGCCGGAAGCCAATGTCATCACTGTGATGTCATTGTCAAGTAGAACCCTCTCAAGTCCACCTTTCAATCTGACCTTCACAATAGCTCAGTGGTGGGCAGGAATTGTTGAGGAAACAGGCACAGTGAGGTTAAATATGTTCTCAAGGACACAGAGCCAGTAAGTAGCAGAACCAGGACTTAGAAATACATTTACATAGCATTATTCACGCACATCATTCCTTCTCAAAAAAAAAAAAAATGTATTTAGCTCCCATTCTTTGCCAGAAACTGTTCGATGAGCTAGAGATTCAGGGTTAAAGAGACAGATGCAGTTTTCTTCCTCAGGGGCCTTGTATTCTGCTGAGTGAGAGAAACATGTAATTACACAAATTATTAATATATGCAATTACAAACTGATTTACAAATCGCAAACTGATAAGTGCAGTGAAGAAAAACAAGTAGAGTGACTACGAGTGGTAAGGGATTAACTCCTCCATTTTACAGATGAGGAAACTGAGGCTCTAGGTTACTTCCTCAGTTTCACAGCTTGTGAGTAGCAGGTGGCATCTGGACATGGATCTAGTGATTCTAAGTCCTTCTGCCCCTGGAGGGTGGGAAGCAAGGTGGGGGAGAGGCTGGAAAGGTTGGCCTGCCCCAGGTGTGGGAACTGGTTCCCAAATGCCCAGGCGCCCTCCTGTGCCCGCAGAGTGTGGTGCGTGTGGTTTTCCACGACCGGCGCCTGCAGTACACGGAGCAGCAGCAGCTGGATGGGTGGAGGTGGAGCCGGCCTGGGGACCGCATCCTGGACATAGGTGAATGGGGAGGGACCAGGGACCCTTTAGGGCTGCTTTCTGTCTTAGAGGCCCTTGTGGATGGGGAGGGCTGAGCCCGACTCCCTGCCTGCAACCCTGTGCCTACAGATGTGCCACTGTCCGTGGGGGTGATAGAACCCCAAGTGCTACCCTCACAACTCAACACGGTGGAGTTTTATTGGGACCCGGCCAAGAGGACCTCCCTCTTTCTGCAGGTGAGTCTGAAGCTGAGACAGGGAGGAGGCTGGAGGTCAGATGTGGGTGGCAGCAGCCTAGGTGGGAAAGGAAGGTGATTTTGGGTGGTGGTGGGGGGCGTGATAAGAATGAACCGCTTCCAGAAACACCTTGAGGAAAAAAAGATGGATAAATGTTGATCGAATCTCACCAAAGGCAAGGACTTGTTAAACATTAAAGCAATGGAAGAAATTACAAAACATAGGACAGAATTTAGCTTCATAAAAAGTAATGGTCTGCAATACACAGGCAAAATTAAAAGGAGACAGCAAATGGGAAAAATAGTTGCCACATATGACATATAATGTGTTATATAAAATGCTAATGATGTTAATAAAAATTATATATATGTGTATATATATATATATATATATATATATATATATAACTGGCAAAGACTTTTTAAAAACTGTTATTGGTAAGGTTTGGAGAAACAGACACCCTCATATCCTGAGAATGCAAATTGGTGCACCCATTCTGTAGGTATGTGGCACGTGGGCAAATTTTATTAAATTTAATGTTCATACTCATTTACCCAGTAGTTCCACTTCAAGAAATGTATCCTATCGCAGTGTTCAATAAGTACACAGAGATATATTTACCAGCTATTCATGCCAGTGTCGCTTTATATATTAAAAGATTTTAAATAATCAAAATGTCCATCAGAAGAGGATTGACTTTGAAATAAGTGTTTAGTACAGGTTTATAATGGAAATTGTGTAGCCATTAAAATGATGTCTCTGAGAAATATTTCATGACAAGAGAAACTGCTTTCCCATACGTAAAGGCAGAATACAGACTTGTATTTAAAGTTTGATTTCTGTTTTGTAAAAGTAAAAGTGTGTGTGTATATGAAAGTTGTGGGGTGTTTTTTCCTTGCCCAGAGAAAAGATAGGAAGAAACAATGCTTGAATGTTAACAGTACTATCTCTGAGAGCTGGGGTGATGGGAAATGCTTGTATTCTTCTTTATACTTTTTCAGTGTTCATATTTTCTATGCTGAAAGATTTCCTTTTATAATCGAACAATATTGTCAAAACTCACCTGTAAGTCCCTTTTTTGAGTGTCCACTATAGTCTAAGCATCTGGACTTGGAGTCAGGTGGATGTGGCACAATTTCAGTTACACCACTTCCTGGCATGGACCTTGCCCAGGTCACATGATCTCTGTGAGCCTCAGCTTCCCTACCTTCACCTGTTCTTCACAAGATTTTGGGAGGGCTACAGTGGGTGTACGGGTCAGGAGGGCTTCCTGGAGTAGACTGCTAGATTTAGCAAATAAAATACAGGACACTCAGTTAAATTTGAATTTTAGCTAAATAATTTTTTTTTTTTTTTTTAGTATCAGTATGTCCCATGCAATACTTGGGAATACTGATACTAAAAAATTATTTGTTTCTTATCAGAAATTCAGATTTAACTGGGCATCCTGTATCTTAACTGGCAGCCCTACTCTGGGATGGGATGTATTGGCTCGGATGTGAACAGAGAGAGCTTTCCCGGTAGAGGAAAAGCTATGCAGGTGTATTGAGGTGATGATTAGGCTGGAAAAGCTATGCAGGTGTATTGAAGTGATGATTAGGCTGGATCGGTAGGTCAGTGGGTTCATTGATGGGGGAGAGAGAGCAGGGTTCATTGATGGGGGAGAGAGAGCAGCCGTGCAGAAAAGCTTGATGCCTGAATGCCAGCCAGGGTCAGGGACTTTGCTTCTCATCTCATAACCTTGGGGAGCTGCTGAGGGATTTTGAACAAGGGAAAGAACCTAATAAAGTTATATTTTAAGAAGAAAGTAGATCTTAAATGATCTCACCACCAAAAGAAGGGTAATTATGTGATGGGGTGTTTCTGTGATGGAGGTGTTAGCAGCTAATGCTATGGTGGGTGGTAATCATTTTCCAATATATAACTGTACCATATCAACACACTGCAAACCTTAAACATACACAATGTTATATGTCAAATATATCTCAGTAAAGCTGGAAAAAATTGTTGCTCTTAAAAAAAAAGTTATGCTTCAAGAATAGACACCGGTTGGGGGTGGGAAGTTGCTGTGATTAATGGCTGACAGGTGACAGACAGGTAACAGCTTTCAGGTGAGATCCCTTGAATGTGGGTGGGACCTGGAGTCACCCTTCTTTTCCACCTCAGGTTCACTGCATCAGCACTGAGTTCACTCCTAGGAAAAAAGGTGGAGAGAAAGGTGTTCCCTTCCGCCTTCAGATCGACACTTTCAAGCCCAGTGACAAGGAGCTTTCGCCGGAGCACCTGCATTCAGCTGGCTGCCTCATCAAGGTGTTTAAGGTACATGCAGCACGGGGGCCCTGTCCCCTCCCTCTCAGGGCTGTCACCCTGCCTTGCTGGCTGTGTGGATCTGGCTCTGCTTTGCGGCGGACCCTCAGCCTGCGGTTCCCCTCTTTGGGACTGTTTCATTCTCCGTGCACAGAGGGATGGGGCTTGGTCTCCTTCTCAGAGCCCCTCCTGTAATGAGAAGTGGGCAGGTAAATAGGGCCTCTGAGGTTTCCTTGTCACCCTCCTGTAGCCCAAAGGAGCTGACCGGAAACTGAAAACTGACCGGGAGAAGATTGAGAAACAGCCCGTGCATGAGAGAGACAAGTATCAGACCGCCTGTGAGAGCACAGTCTTCATGGAGGTGTGTGTACTGGGTGCGGGGGCGGGAGGGGAGGTCTGGAGAAAAGATCCTCGTTGTACACGCTGGGAAACTGAGGCCTCAGGGGCTGCGACTGCTCCAGGATCATCACAGCCTCCCAGTGATTCCACCTGTTTCCTGCGAGGACAAACTGCACTGCCTGTTGTTCAAGACTCCCAGGAGATGACGCCTTGCAGGCTGCCTCTCCTTGCCCTGCTGTGGCCGCCCCTCACTTCTGCTCCCTCTGCCTGGAGCACCTCCTTTCCTGCTGTAGCTCCTCCAGGAAGCCTTCCCCAAATCCCCCAAACAGAGCTGCAGGCTAGTTTACTCTCTTCTTTGTGTGGAAACTTGATCTACTTGCCAGGGACTCCTGGGGCAGGGGCCAAGTTTGGCCCAAGGCAGGCCAACAGCCACCATTGCCCACCCCCCACACACACACCCGAATGTCCAGGCTAACCTCGCTGCTTGTCCACCTGCAGTGTTCACCGTGGCCAGAGCCCAGTTCGGGACCCCACCTGCCTCTGAGCCCTCTTGCTCTGACCTCCCCCAACTCCTGCAAGCTCCTGTCCCCAGAGAGGTGAGGCAGGACGAGCACCTTCTGTCAGCCCTTGGGGGTGAGAATGAAGAGAAGAGCCCCTCAGCCTAGGCAGCGGGGGAGGGGCCGGCCTGAGGGTGCAGCTGAGGCAGCTTCTGGGGAACACGTGGGTGACACCGGGACAGGCCTGGGTAAGGATGAGGGGGGCAGGAGACTGGCCACACTGTTTGCCTGAGCCTGACTCCCTGCTCCCCACAGGCTCTGCTCCTCACCACCATTCGCCTTGGACACCTTGGGGGGCAGCCCAGCTCAAGTGAGTCTTTCCTTTCCACACTCCCACACCCACTATTGCAAAGCCTTCTCAGCAGTGTCATCTCACTCTCCAGAATAGGGTGGCCCTGCCCCCTGGTGGGCAGATGTGGTATGGCCACAGATAGCCAAATGGTTCGCGGATGGCGCTGGGCACTTCCCTCCAGCAGGATGAGCCTCCCGTCTTGGACTTGGGACCTCCAAGGGCAGGGGCCATGTTTCCCCTCCACCTTGTTCTCAGTCCGTGGGTCCGCGGTGTTATCTGGACCGCTCTCTTTATACCTCAGGATCTGAACCCTGGAGCCTCCATCCTAGAGACACAGCAGTGGTTGCATCGGCACCGGTTCTCCAACTACTGTCGGTCGTTGGCTAATTTCACTGGTGAGGCTGGGGTCTGGTAGGGACCTGACCTGTAGGGGACTGAGGGCAGACAGTGGGGCAGGAAGCCTGTCTCTGTCCTGGCTTGCTGTGTGCCCTTCAACTAACTTCTATGTAGAACTAAGAGTTGGCAAGCACACTATGCTGGCTAGGCTCTCTTCTCGTGTATTATCCCACACAATTTATACACTACCCCTGAGGACAGGGCTCAGAGAGGTTAAATAACTTACCCAAGGACACACAGCTAGCAAATGGCAGAGGTGGGATTTGAATCCAAGTCTGGTTCCCATGTCTGGGCATACCAGGGCTATTTGTAGACTAACGTTGGATTGTATCCCTTGCCACCCTTGATCCCAGGGCTCTCTTCCCCTAATCTAGCCCTGTCTGACTCTGCAGGCTCTGATCTGCTGAAGCTTACCCGCCAGGACCTTATCCAGATCTGTGGAGCTGCCGACGGGATCCGCCTTTTCAATACTCTAAGAGCCAGGTGCTGGGCACTGCCAACCAGGGTCCTCTTCCCACTGTAGTGGCACTTACCAACTCAGCTGACACTCACATTTCATAGACTGTTCAAGCCAAAGGCACCTGAAAGACCACTTAGCCCCACTTCTCTCTTTTTACAAAGGAAGAAACTCAGGCCCAAAGGACAGCGACCTGCCTGAGGTCACAGAGCAAGCAAGGCTAGCAGCATTGGGCTTAAAAGTTAGGCTCCTGTGACTTCTTTCTGTGGCCATCCCATCTGCATCACTCAATTTCTGGGGACAGAGATGGATTCTTCTCATCTTCTGTCCCCTAGGGTCCAGCATTCACTAAATACCTAAGAAAAGTTTGGTGACCCCCTATCCCTAGAGACCTGGGAGGATGCAGGGTTTCTCCCGGGGATGGGGGCTAAAACTGGGACCTGTTAGTTCAGGTATGAATGTAGACTGTTTTCCTGGCCCAGGCCCATCCGTCACCGGCTGACCTTATATGTCGCTCGGGAGGCCTCTAGGCAAGAGAACGAGGTTCCTAAGAACCCTGACTCAGGTGAGGTTCTGGCCTCTTCAGAAGACAAGAAACTCAGGTGTGGTTGCATGAAACCTCTTCTGGGCTGGGGAAGGGGTGATGCTCCACCATTTCTGGGACCCAGGATGCCCTTGGCATTCTCATCTTCCATGACTAGATTCGTCTTCTTTCAGGATGACTCCCTGGGTTTATTCCTCCATGCTTTACACTCTGACTCCATCTGATTCTGTCATTCTATCATACGGTATCCCATCTCTTCTTTAAACTGGGGGTTCCTCTCAGCCTAGGCCTCCCCAAAGGTGAGGAATAGGAGGTGAAAGTGAAGATGCTTTGTAAGGTTTTTTCCTTCTCTACTCCTCCCCTGACCTGGGCCCTCCCAATGAGCCTGTCGCCTTGTCTCCTTTCTCCTGATATCTGGGGCTCCCTCTGGGCCGCAGCCCCCACTGACTCCTGCCCCTGTGCTGCCCACACCCCCAGGCTTTTATCAAGAGATCTCTCTGGATGAACTCAGTGCTGTAGAGCTCATGGGGAAACTGGCTGAACTGCTGGCCCTGCCAGCCAATCAGATCCATCGGCTCTTCCACCAGGGCCCTGGGGGCATCCTCATTCTCCTCAGTGACCAGGTAAATCGGCAGCGGTTCCCTGCAAGGTCCCACAAAGGCCTGGATCATTCTTCCAACACCAGGCCCAGCCTCCCCCTCCCTGCCCTAGCTTATTCCGTTTGGTTCTAAGAACAGAATCGTCTTAGTGACTCCTCTCCCTTGCAGGTGGTTCAGAATCTTGAGGATGAGTCGTACTTTGTGGCTGTGGTGAAGAAAGGTAGGGCTTTTAGAGGGAGAGGCATGTGTCTCACAGGCCCTAGAAAGGGTAAGATTTGTTTATAATGCTGCCTCCTAAATGAGATTAAAAGGTTCCTTGAAGGTGTGTTGCGGGTGCTGTGTCCCAATCAAGGGGTAAACATCTGCTCAACACCAGCTTTGTGTCAAAGGGACAGGGTCATACAGCTAAGAGACAGCCATTTATCTCTCAGGAAGAAGTAACTGAATAAACGCATTCTCATGAGGGAGACATGCCCTAGTTTCAGGGAGTTTATCAGAAGGGAAGGAAAGGCCCCTACCCCTCTTCCTGCCTCCCCCAGTCATACAAGTCAGAAGGGCAGGTGCTTGCTGGACACCACCTGGAGCAGAGCACTTCTGATCAGCTGGCTTGTGGTCCTGGTTATTCAGATGCCTGCCCTGTATCCCTCCTCTGTGCTCCAGTACCCAGGGAGGCTTCCTGAAGAGCTGGATCCAGGGTGGGGCTGGAAGAACACTTGGGTGTGGCAGAGGCACTGCAGGCTGCTTGGAGGTTTAGAAGCAGCACAGTAGTTAGTGGTGGTTGGGGCCTACCTCATCCCTGTGGTGCCCTTTTTTTTTTTTTTTTTTACTGCTTTCAGTGCAGAATCCAGATGGCTACTACCTGGTTCTGACCTAGGCCCAGGGGTGTCCTGCTGCCAGAGGAGGAGACTGGTGCCAGCCTGGTTCTCTGGGGTCCTGTGCTCACCACAAGCCTTGTTAACATCCTCAGCCACTTCACCAGGCTTCAGATGAAGAGCCAAATCGTCATGTGTCCTACCCCGGGGAGGAGACAAGCAGCCCCCAGGCTCATGTTTCTTTCTGCTCAACAGCAAGTTGTTGGAACCCCTGAGACACAGCCTTCCCTGCTGAGCTGAGCTGGCCAAGCCTGTGAGGCAAAAAACCCCCTGGCAATATGGATAAGGAGCTTTTGCCCCAAGCAGTGCTGCTGAACAGAGTGCTTTAATTCATGTTTATTTAAAATTTTATTCATCCCCTTTAAAAGTAAAGATATATACATACATACATACATATATATATATATATATATATATATATATATATATTCAATGTGTTGTCCAATTCTCTTGGTGTTACGGTCCTCTTGGGGATATGCCCCCTGCTTAAACTTACAGACCAGGGCAAGGGACGGAGTCTGGGACAGAATCCGACTGGATTCTTTTCCCAATTAGTTTGGGCAAAAACTAACCACTAAAGCCTCCAAAAGATTATTCAACTATTAAATCACTGTGCTTATTTAAAACTTCAGTTCTAGAGACTTGGGAATTACTATAGCTCTTCTTGAACAATGAGGCTATAGGGCTTTATTATTTTTTATTTAAGAAATGTAGTTGAATTAAAATTAATGTTTTAATTTTTAGGTCTTAACAAATCTTTCCCT